CTCTGCATCTATGAAATCTGTAGCTATACACATGCGACAGACAAGTCTGAAATAAAACCCATTTTTGTACATCAATTCTAAGTGTCCTGATGTCTATGGCCGTTTTGGAGATGATCAAGTTTCTTTTCTTTTTTTTTGGCCCCTTATATGATTAGTCTTCAATTCAGTTGTAAACTTAATGTGCATATTTGTTCTCTGGTCTAAAACTCTCATTCTTGGGCATTAGGGAGGTTCTCAATCTTAAAGTATCTTTATGAATACTTTAAAAGATTATTTAAAAATAAAAAATATGCAAACAAATGCATAAAAATTCCTGATTCCAAATTCCAGGTAATACCTGGTATTATGAATCAAAACATGCTTCTTTTTTCCGCTGATAACAGTAAAGTATCTTTATGAATACTTTAAAAGATTATTTAAAAATAAAAAATATGCAAACAAATGCGTAAAAATTCCTGATTCCAAATTCCAGGTAATACCTGGTATTATGAAACAAAACATGCTTCTTTTTTCCGCTGATAACAGACTCATAAAGGATGGTATGTTATAAACCTTCTAAACAAATTCATCATTTAGCCATTCATTCAACGAACACTTATTGAACATCAATTTTTTTCCAAGCCTCGTTCTAGGGGTAGAGCAATGAACAAAACTGATAAGTCTTGGTCCTCACAGAGTTTCCATTCTAGCGAGGGCTGGGGGAGGTGGGGATACTATGTAAATAACTAAGCAAGGTAAGAAGAGATAACAGGGCTGGGAACTGGAGACCTTATCACCCTTCCACTAATACCCATATTAATGTAGTGAAGAGGCTCAGGCTTGGGAAATGTGTCCTTGTTTAATAACACCTGTTGCTTTGGATAGTATAGCTACAAGCAAGTGAATTTTCAGGAAATCCTGAGTGACACATATGTCTTTAGCCCTGAGTGTATATCTCTAACCCTTTTAGGGGCAGCAGGAATTTTTTCATGATAAAATTCCATGGTCATACTTTTGTAAGAAATACTTCTTTACCTGTATGAACTGAGAAAATCACAAGAGTTTTGGAGCATGTATAGGATCTGTCTTGGTATGAATAGCAGATGGTCACCTCTTTAATCTAGGTAGTCAGCATTTACTAACCCCCTCAGAGCACTGAAGTATAGGCATCTGAGTGATGTGTTACAAATGAATACAGTGAAGAAGATGTGGGTTTTGATAGGCAAGCATCTATTATACAGTAAAATACCTGGAAAAATTCCTTTTCTTCTATTAGCTGAAGCACTGAAAATACTATTTTAGGTTCTTCAAGAAAATTAGTAACTGTGAAAATATAATTAAACCACAACAATTTTAATGCCTGTAGGTTTGAGGAGAATATTTTACATTCTGACTGTTCATTTGCACAGAAGATAAGAAGAGGAAATACACTAGATTAGAAATTGAGAGATTTGCTTTCTAGCCCTATTCTAGCACAATTTAACCTTTACCTTCCCAATCCATTTGTGCCTTGGTTTCCTCAAGAAAGAGTCTGGAATAGATTAGACACAAGGTACCTTACAACTTCACCTTTATAATTAAGTGACATATGCAACCATTAATAATAATGTATGGAACCAAAACATAATTTTGTCATTTGAGCTGAAACAACCAGAAAATAACAAATGAAAATGCATCAGGTTCCTATATTCCTTGTGTAATATGCAAAACAACTTAAAGGGGAAAAAGAACTAATTTGAAACACATTTTGCTTATTTAATGTTCTTATGCTTTTTCTGTTTCCTTTTAATTCCAGATGTATAGAAAGCCCATATTATCTTCTCATTCTAAATAAGACATGGTTGCGATACTAATGTGATGAAGTGTTTGCCTACACATGGTGCTCTGATACAGATGCAGTACAGCAAAGATATTTTTTCTTTGTCCTTTTAAGGTCTATCTTTCCCTATTTTCCCTACTCCCCTTCCACTTTCTTCCTTTCTTTCTCTTCTCTGCACTCTCCTCTCTTTCCTTCTTTCTTTTGTGTCTGGGTATGTGCTGTTAAGTGGTATAGCAGACAGTCCCTAAAGTGGCCCCCAATAATTCCTGCCTCCTGTTATTTCCTCCCACTAAGTAATTGCTTCTCACCAACAAAATAAAGCAGCATTGAGGGGATGTCACTTCCATGATTAGGTTACAAAAGATTGAGACTTCTGTCTCACTAACAGATTCACCCTCTTGCTGGTTTTGATGAAGCAATCTACTGTGTGGGTGAGAACCACACAGCAAAGAACTCAGGGTGGCCTCTGGCCAACAATCATAATAAGCTGAGGCCCTCAGTTTAACAACCCTTAAATAACTGAATCCTGCCAACAACCATGTAAGTGAGCATGCAAAACCAATCCTTCCACAGTTCAGCCTTCAGATGAGACCATAACCCTTGCTGACAGTTGATTCCAGCCTTGTGAGAAAGCCTACAGCAGAGGACCCAGCGGGATGGATTAAGTTGGAGAAAAGGTAGAAATATTATTAACTGTACTAAATATTTGAATGTTATTGATACTGAATAAATGAATCTAATATATCAGAACTTAAAAGCAGTGTTCAAGAATGACACTAGCCACTTTTCCTAGCAAATGGAACATATCAAAGTGAGGGTGGAAACAGGGTAACTTCTCTTTTCAAGACAAGGAGAACTGTAGTGTGACTAAGTGCTTAGTCATCTTCTGACCCAACTAGTACCATGAGGCTGAAGACATCCAACATTCCTAAAGTCCAGTTCCTTACTGTCTTCCTGAGGTTTTCCAAGTTAGAGAGTGCTGGCATAATTTTAAAATAAGCATCTTTCTGACTATGTCTGAAAATCGTATTAGAATGTTATTCTTTCATTTCACTATGAAGACAACAGATGGCTACTACAGACTCTCAGGTCCTCTCTGATGAGCCATGAAAAGATAGTAATTTCTGAACCGGTAAAATTTCCTGCTATAACTGTAATTTTTTTTTAGCATAAACCTGAAGACAGTGTAATTCATCACCTATTTATACAAGAGAGCCCACCTTTGTCCCTAAATTAATTTTCACTAAGAGAAATGAGTGTTCCAACTTAAGTGGTACACATTTTGAAGAAATGTTAGCATTAACACTGCTCAGCACTCAAAAATCTGGGCAATAGATTTGGTATTCATTTTCATTCCTCTTTGGAGACTTCATTTTGAAAATGAGGATTTTGACTTTTAATTACATCTTTATTTTAGTTATTACTACTATGTTACATCTTGTTACATATTATATCATGTTTAACTCTTTACATATATGAAGATACCTCAAAAAGTTCATGGAAGGTTTCACATTATGTTTTAATTCTTATTTCTATGAACTTTTTGAAGTACCCTCATATTATCTCATTTAATACTGACAACAATTCCAGAAGATGGGTTTTGTTTCCATTTAGAAATGGGTGAAACTGTAGTTTAGGTAAGTAAAGAGAGTCGCCCATGTTTATACTCCTGTAAGTAGCAGAGATGGGATTAAAACAAAAGTCAGTGTGATTTCAAGCTGAAGCTCTTACAATTAGCAAAAAATAACAGCTGTTGCATCTCATGGAATTCTAAGAAGAAAATGACAAGCTCAGATTTACTTTTAATTCAACTATCAGAAATCAGTAATATGGCAGGCCCTAAAAGCAGCAACTCCCAATCGTGATTTCACATTGGAATCATCTGTGGAGCTTTAAAAGTACTGATGCCTTAGTCTACTACCAGAGATTTGAATCAATTTGTGTGCGGTACAGTCTGGAAACTTCATTTTTTAAAAGTTCCCAGGTGCTTGCAATGTGTAGC